TTCTTTAGGTGTTAAGAATAGTTTGAAAGCCAGGTGCAGGTGGTTTGTGTCTGTAATCCCTAGTTACTTGGGAGGCTGAGATCTGAGGATCACAATTCAAAGCCAGCCCAGGCAGGACAGCTCATGAAACTCTCATCTCCTATTAACTGTCAAAAAATCTGGAAGTGGAGCTCAAGGACAGTTGCCAGGCTGGTATCGCCCCCTCCCCCCCCCCAAAAAAAACAAAACAGAGTATAGTTTTAAGTAATATAGTGAGTCAGTGTAGCAGGTTTCAGATAATTGTCTACATTCCTCTGTCTAAGTTTGCTTTGAGTATATTGCTAACTGGGGAGAAGCAGACATAAAGATATATAAATAAATGAAATTTTCTCTTTCCATGGTAAATAACTTCATATTTGCTTTATATTAAAAGCCAAATGTTTCTTTAATTGTATGCTGTAAGAATTATGTCTAAGGACCAGTGTTGCACCAAAGTGTCCTAGACATGTTAAAACAACAATCATTCATTCATTGAGTGTTAATCTGGGGATTTGAACTCAGGGCCTGGGTGTTATCCCTGAGCAGCTCAAGGCTAGCACTGTATCATTTGAGCAACAGCTCCATTTCTCAATTTTTTTGGTAGTTATTTGGAGATCAGAGTATCATGGACTTTCCTGCCCAGGCAGGCTTCAAACCTCACTCCTCAGATCAGCCTCCTGAATAGCTAAGATTACAAGTATGAGCCTGGCAAACAGATTTATTTATTTGTTTGTTTGTTTATTTGTCATGGGCCTCAACTCAGCTCCTCAGCTCAAGACTAGTGCTCTACCACTTGAGCCACAGCACTACTTCCTGCCCTTTCTGCTTATGTGGTGCTGAGGACTCGAACACAGGGCTTCATGCATGCAAGGCAAAGCACTTTACCACTGAGCCACCTTCCCAGCCCCAAACAGATCTTTTTGCTGGCACTCTTGATGGCTGCCTGAAAAAATCTCTTCAGTTTAAAAAAAAATTTAAAAAAAATAAAGCAAAAAGCTAAACCCAAAACAGTAGCTTTTAGAGTAGAAGTCCTAGGTTTTGTTGGTCTGACTATGTCCTCTGCTGAAACACTTTTGGATCTTGGTTAGCTTCAAACATTCTTTATTGTTTTCTTAGGAAGTCCTATTGCCACTGCTAAGCCAGATACACATATATCAAAATTAAATGTGAGGGCATACCCTACTCAATGAAATAGAGCCTTTTAATTAGGTAGGAATTGAGGATCACTAATTTTAGTTTGCCCACAACTTCCAGTAAGTCATCAAGTTGAGTATCTGAAGAGCCTAAATCCTTAATATCTGCAAATCTAAAACTTTAAGATAAGTCTATGCAAATATTCAAGGAAACTCTAAAACCAGGAATACTCTGATCCTAAGCATTTTGGACAAGAAATTGTCAATGTTCCAGAATTACTTTACCTAACATTGATACCTTTATTTTTGCACAGATAAAACTTACAAATTAAATTTTATTACTTAATTTTAAAAGAAATAGTCTTATTTTACATATCAATATGCTTTCTACTTTCTTGAAGTTTCATGTGTTGTGTATATATATGCAATAATCCTTGTTATATTTAAGGTGATTGGAACCTTAAAATTACGTAAGTGATTAGTTACCTAAAAGGTTTATTAAATAAGTACTTTCTAATTGCAACTCTTGACTAGCGAGGCATAAATTTCTATTTCCTGTAGTAAGACAAATTAATTTTTGAGGAAGTTTGGCAAAGACAGTATTAATAGATTCAGAGTGTGGGCTGGCATTGTATCTTTGGGGGGTAAGGTGGGAGCCTGGTGCTTACTAGAGTGGAGCAGTACTGCTGAGTGACACCTCCCTCCCTGTTTTTCACAGGTTATTTTTAGGATAGGAGCTCACATCCCATCTGGATGTATAGCTGAGCCATGATCTACCTATTATCCCTGGGATCACAAGTGCATCCCTGCCCCTTCTATGGAGATGGAATTGCATCAATTTTCTACCATGGCTGTCCTGTGACATAGTGATTCTCCTGGTCTCGGCTTCCCATGTAGCTTGAGATGATAGATGTAGCTTGCTTAGCCATGGGTTGGGAAGGGTCTTTTCTGGCCTTGAACTTCCATCCTCCACTTTTTAGCCACCTCCCCTCCTACCTTTGGTGCCCCCCCCCCACCCCCAAGCTTGGATTACAAATATAAGCCACTGGCACCCAGCTTGGCATTATATCTTAAAATGAATTTTCTGGTGTGACTAATTTTTGCTGGTATTAAGTTAAAAAAATCCTTCCATCAGGCTGGGAAGGTGGCTCAGTGGTAGAGCGCTTGCCTTGCATGCCAGAGGCCCTGGGTTCGATTCCTCAGCACCACATACGCAAAAAGGAAAAAAAAAGCCGGAAATGGTGCTGTGGCTCGGCCCAGAGTTCAGGTCCCACGACCGGACCCCCCCCCCCCCCCCCAAAAAAAAAAAAAAAAAATCCTTCCATCCAAACTGAGGCAGTCTAAGTTACAGATTGGGGTCTCATGAGGTCCGTGAACCCAACCTTTGGGATTCAGATTCCATGTATTTTCATGATTCTGAAAGCTGACACTTGAGATGCAGATCCACTACTGGCTTTTTGCTGGTTAATTAGAGATAAGGTCTCATATTTCTCTACCTGGGCTGACCTTGAACTGTGATCCTCAGACCTTAGCTTAGTGAGAAGGTAGGATTACCCGCATAAGCCACCAGTGCCCAGTAATCTTGGATATTTTGATCTTGAGAGTTTTCAGTAACTAAGCATCGTTAAGTTGACTTAGTTCTCTTCTGACCCATAGAAGAATAAACCACACCTTATTTCTGCTGATTGTAATCCTTATTCCTGTTGTTAATGACACCCCTATCTCAGATCACCACCTGCATGAATATTAGTGGACCATTTAATTTTATTACCAATACACAAGTGCAGGAGGAATTTGAAAGGAATGGGACTGATTTGATTTGATACTGACCATATCAATTCACAGCTTCTGTCATAAGTCCTCTCTTACCTCCTTTCTGTCCTCTGCTAAATAACATCCCTCAATATTTTTTTCTCTTTTCTTCTCTAACATTTCTTAGAGATAAGTGACATTGTTCCCACTTAACAGAAGGTAAGAGATAAAGTGAATAACAAATTACATAAGACACATAATAAGCACACAGCCACATCTCCCTGTCCCCACTAATTCACCAGAGATGTCTTATGTATGTGTATGAACATCATACCTATACAAAAATGTCCCAAAGGCACCAAATTCCTTTGTCCATTTGTATTTCTTCTGGGATTATTAAAGTGTTAGAGAAAAAAGGTCACTTTTTTGTGAGAACACATTTTAAATATATTTCATAGTTCAGTATAGTTTAGATCTTACTAGATCTCAGCTGCACCTGAGATAATAACTTTTATCTCTTTGCTTTCAAATTGCATGTATTTCATTTGTGTGTAGTTATTGAGGCACCTTCCCAAAAGATAATATGTTCCTTTCTATGTACATTAAGCTTAGCCTGGAAATTCTAAAAATATGATCAAGTAATTTTACAAAGCAGTCTGATTTAAGCTGCATAATATATATTATTAATTCTGATTGGTCATGGTACATCGATTTTAAATTTTACTTTAAAGTCACAGTTTTAGAGCTGGGCACCAGTGGCTCACCTATAATCCCAGCCACTCAGAAGGCTGAGATCTGAGAACTGTGCTTTGAAGCTAACCAGGGCAGAAAGTCTGTGATTCTTATTTCCAATAGACTACTAAAATAGCTGGGAGTGGAGCTCTGACTCAGGTGGTAGAGCACTAGCCTTGATTGAGCAAAAGCAGCTTAGGGACAGTTCCCAGGGCCTTAAGTTCAAGTCCAAGGACCTTACAGCCCTCCTCCCCTTCCAGATCTCAGTTCTTGCAGTTTACCGGGACTAGTTCAGTAATTAAATTGCTGAATGCTTAACCTTGAGTTAAACTTTTTATCTTTTTAGGGAAAGAGGGTGAGATTGACCCTCTTTCAGCCTAGCCTAGCCTGACCTTAAACTCTATAAATACTTCTGCCTTAGCCTCCCAAATGCTGGGATCACAGGTGTACAGGTGTGTATGTACCACCGTACTCAGATTAATTAATGAATTTATTTATTTTGCGCTGGCACTAATTCTTGAACTCCGGGCCTGGGAGCTGTCCCTAGCTTTTTTGCTCATGATGGCACTCTACTTCTTGAGCCACAGCTCTACTTCTGGCCTTTATGTGGTTAATTGGAGATGAGTCTCATGGACTTTTCTGCCTAGGTTGGCTTCAGACTATGATCCTTAAAATGTCAAGCCTCTGAGTAGCTAGGATTACAGGCATGAACCACCATGTGTCCACCAATAAATTTAATTTTTGAGGTTAAATTTTAAGCACAACTTTTTGCCAAGTCAGGAAAATCAAAAGTTTAAGAGACCAACTTGGGGTGCAAGTTGAGAATCTTGTCTCTTAAAAACAAAAAATAACAACAAAAAATCCTGTCTCTTGACTTTTCTTATTTTGGCAAAACTTGTCATTTTAGTCATCAGATAATATGGAACCTAACAAACAACAAGCATTAGCTCATGTATTTTTGGTGGATGCTCATGTGAACAAACCCAGGGTGCTATTAGTTGTGTGAAAGTATAGCACATACAGTTATACAGGTCACATAATACGTGGTAGTGATAATAAATGCTTTTTTTGTTTTAAAAGATACTATGGAGTCTTAAGAATTTTTTTATTATTATTAACAGAAGATGTTTTTACGTACAAAATCACTCTGCCCCCCACTAGTTTACAACTTTGGGATTGAAAAAAAGTTGTTCTTGTTTGCTTGCTTGTCAAGTTCTAGGGCTTTGTGTATGTTAAGACAAGTGTGAAGCCTTGTTCCCAGCTGATTGTACTGTTTATCCAATGTTGATTTGAGCTCTATGTAATTATAAAGTATTATTACAGTTTCTTTTAACTAAAGTGTTCATCTCTTTACCTTTTATACAGGCTGGACGTAAAGAAAGAAGTGATGCACTCAATTCTGCAATAGATAAAATGACCAAGAAGACCAGGGACCTGCGGAGACAGGTAAGGTAAAAGAAAGTAGTGATTGCTTTTCTAAGTTCTCAAATTTTTAGTTTTGATTAAAACCCTAATAAATAGTAGGCTTATTTTTCATTGAAAGAATAGATTTTAAGTGGCTCTGTGTTTTATTACTTGTAAACTTCATAGTGGTGGGGGACTTGTATTAATAAATATGGTCCCATGGGGATGAACTGAATAAATGAGCTCTAGCATGAAAAGAGGATGTATAAGAGGAAAGTCAATTTAAGATGACTTGGGGAAATAAGTTCTAAGGATTTTGTTAAATTAGCTCACGTACAGTAGACATGAAATTCTAGTTACTTATTTGACTTGCCCTATTCTGAAAATACATTTGCAGTTAGATCCCTTACCTCATTGGGGTAAATGTATTTCCAATTCAAATATGTTAGTATAGCAATATTTCAGATGCCAAGTTCCATATTAGTAAATATAAACAATCTGTTTATTTAATGATAAATAATTCAGTTAACATTTTGGAATCAAATTGAATTTTAATCTTTAAAAAATTAGGGCTAGGCTTATAAAATAATGTATTAAAGCTTTTGAAATGAATAATTTAGCCAATTTCCAAGAATTGGTGGAGAACATTTATTGTTAATGTCTGATAATAAGTAAAATTAAATATTGAACATTATCATCATACAATTTCATTTTGATAAAGCAGTTTCAGAAATGGTTAAAAAATAATCTTTAAGTTTGAAGATTCATATTCATACTTTGCTAACCCTTTCAAACACTAGAAAGTATTATTTCTTCTCATTTCATTTAAACAATTAGGCTAATTATATACATCCCGAGGCTATGTGCCAGTTCAGTTCAGAGCTGCTTTCTTTTCAGCGTGGTGTTATTCCTTTACGAGTTAGTCCTTAGTGTTGCAATTCCCAAGAATAAAGGATATTTTCTTAAACATTGAGGATCTGTTCTGTGACCACAGTGTAAGCCACTGATTGTATCCACAATCCTTGTTTCTGGTTAAGTAATTGTTCTTACAGGAGGAGGGGTCCTCCTGTAAGTACAGCTAGTGTTTCATAGGCTTCCATTAAAGACAAAGATGTGAACAAGGTGAAGGGTGGAAAAGGGGTATAGGAAACAACTTCTTAGTACAAACAAAAATCACATCACAATTTTAATTCCTAGCTCCGCAAAGCTGTCATGGACCATGTATCAGATTCTTTTCTGGAAACCAATGTTCCACTTTTAGTATTGATTGAAGCTGCAAAAAATGGAAATGAGAAAGAAGTTAAGGAGTATGCTCAAGTTTTTCGTGAACATGCCAACAAGTTGATTGAGGTAAGTATATTTGCAGTTTTCTTAACTGTTAGTAACAAAATGTAGTCCAAAGTTTCTGTTACATGATTTAATCAACTAAAAAATTTTAAGGACTCACCTAATATATAATGTATAAATTGATAGTCTTTATCAGTGGGCATATGTCCCAAAGTAGCATTATGTAGATAATTCCTATCTAGAAACGTAAAAACTATCACTTAATGGTAATGCAGATAAAAACAGATCATGAGAAAAAATTCAAAACGATGGTACAGAAAGTGGTAGCGCTGAGAACAGGAAATTGAAGTTACACTGCTTGGGCTTGCATCTTGGCAAGTTACCTAAGGCCTCTCAATTCCCATTTCTTGTCTTTAAAGATTCTGGAAGTGGCGCTGTAGCTCAAGCCGGGGGGAGGGGGGTGGAGCTCTTTCCTTGAGCTGAAGAGCACAGCCACAGCACCCAAGCCCAGAGTTCAAGCCCCATGACCGACCACTCCCCCCCCCCCCCCCCCCCCCCCAAAAAAATTTAAAGATTCTGGCCCAATGCCAGTTGTTCAGCCTGTAATCAGGAGGCTGAGATCTGAGGTCACAGTTTGAAGCCAGCCCAGGCAGAAAAGTCCCTGTGAGACCCATCTTCCAATTAACCACTCAAAAACTGGAAGTGGAGCTGTGGCTAAAATGGTAGATCACTAGCCTTGAGCAAAAGAGCTCATGGACAGTATCCAGGCCCTGAGTTCAAGTCCAGGACCAGCCAAAAAAAAGAGGAACCTGGACTGGAGCATGGCTCAAGTGGTAGAAAAACTTGTTTAATCAATACAAAGCTCTCCAATACCACAAAAAGATGATACTTCTGATACCTACCTTGATCAGAAAAGAAGATGATGTGGGTCAGATGTTTAGCCTTCTTGCCAGAGCCTTAGACTCATATAGTCTTCTTATTTTAAAAGTGAAGGAAATGAGCCTTGACATGCTGCTGATTAGATAGATTTATATAGCAAATATCTATGGAAATGGCTGGGTTTTAGTGTGATAAGAATACAAAATGTTTTGTTATTTAAATTTCTAGATGTCGGTCTTGTACCTCATTTCCTAATTGAATTTATATTGTTTAATTTATTGCTATGTTTTGGTAATGTGGTACATAGTAAACATACATACAAGGTACTTGGTTTTGTAACTGCAGTACAGAAACATAGTATTTGGTAGAGATATTCCATAGACCATTTGGTAGATTGGTCTCTATTAAGAACAGAAAATGAGAATTCATGTAAAATGTATGTCTTGTACATTTGGATTTATAGTGACATGACATTGGAATGTAAAAACATTCCAAAGGAAACATTAAATGTATTACAAATTTTGCATCGAATGTTTTTTGTACATAAATTGAGTGTTATTCTGATCTTAATTATGGATAGAATGCATACGTCAGTCTACTATGCAAGTTAATAACCCCAGTATTTGAGCTAAAATTGGAGAATTTCGTTTGTGTCTCCGTAATTTTGTTCACAGTAGTCACATGACTGCATAAGTTGTAATTTCCAAATGTACAAAGATTGTGTTCAGGAAGCCAGTCTCTTGAAAGCAGCCTATGTATTAGAAACTGTGTTTGAGTGACAAGAATTAAGAACACTGCCAGCCCAGGGCCTTAAGTACCAGCATGATAATGAGCTCAGTGTGGCAGCTAAACAGAGGACAGTCCTTGTCTGCACTGGAGTTGGAGAGTCCTTGATTGGGATCAGTTGTGTTATCCTCAGTCTCCCTTGTCATACTCACAAAGCTGATAACTTGCTGAGTGCCTACTGTATACCAGTAATGATTACTTTTCCACAGCAGCATTTTTTAGTTAAGGAAACTGGGGCTTTAAAAGGCTGAGTACTTATAAGTTTATTCAACTTTTATTCCTCCAACAATGATGGTTGGGCACTCAAACCTCACTGGTATATATACAACTAACATACACTCAGAAGCACTGGATGAACCAGTGACTTTTAAAACTTTTTTCTAAGCCAGACGCTGGTGGCTCACACCTGTAATCCTAGCTACTCAGGAGGCTGAGATGTGAGGATTGAGGTTCAAAGTCAGCCCTGGCAGGAAAGTCCATGAAACTCTTTATCTCCAATAAACCCACTAGAAAAGCGCTGTGGCTCAAGTGGTAGAGCGCTAGCCTTGAGCTGAAGAGCTGAGGGACAGCGCTCAGGCCCAGAGTTCAAACCCCAGGACCAACAAAAAATAAAACAACAAAGAAAACCAACAACAAAAAAACTTTGTTCCAGGAGCTTCTCCCAAGTGTATAGTTTTTATTTCATTCTGAAAATCAGTAGCTAAGGTTTCCCTTAAAGATTAGCTGGTGATATTTCTCATCACTTCTTAGTTCTAACCCCTTTTCTCGCATCTTTCTCCTTTCTATGCCTTCCATTCTCATCACCTACCCCATCCTATCTATGTATTAAATAATGTGAGTTTTAATTGCTTGAGACATAACTATAGGCTTTGTAGTACCAAACTGCAAACACTTAAGTTGCATTTATAATAATAAAGACCGTAGATATATAATTGCATATGTCTGAGAAAAGGAAAAGAATTTTTATAATTTGTTTTATATGCCTCAAATTTCTAACTCAAGGCAGAATTACATTCTTCAGTTAAAGGCTTTTCCCCTCACCACTTTGTGTTACAGTGAAACACTTTGAACCAGAGACTTTATTTTAGCAAAGAAAAAATATTTCATCGTGAGTCATTTGTGAATCTCTTGACTTCATTTCTTTTCATTATTTCTCCTCTAACTGGAATTAAATGTCTCTGGGCCAATTTCAGGTTGGGATACCCTTTTTCCTGAAGATTCAGTAGAAGTAAGAGTGCCACATAACGCTGGCTCACACCTGAAATCCTAGCTACTTAAGAGGCCGAGATCTGAGGATTGCGGTTTGAAGCCAGCTTGGACAGGAAAGTCTGTAAGAGTTTTAATCCAATAAATTACTCAGAAGTGGTGCTGTGGCTCAAGTGGTAGAACTGAAGCCTTTAGAAAAAAAAGGTCAGGGACAGCACCCAGGCCTTGTTCAAGCCTCAGGACTGGCATCTAAATACATACATACATACATACATACATACATACGTAAAGAGTGCTACATGACTTTTGGGCAGGGCTGGTGGCAATAAGCCTCTGACAGACAAGGAGAGGTTTAGAGTCTATGGCCACAGAGGATTATGCCAATTTTTTTGATAAGGACTGACCCCCTAAAATGCCCCATCTAATCTATACTACTAGAAATTACTGTAGAATCACAGGTTAATTAAGTCATGAGTCCCAACAAGATTACCTGTATTTCAGATGTTAGATACATTTTCGAGGAGGTCCCCAAGCCATTTCTACTCTGACCAAATTGTTGCAAATCTGAGGAATTCCCATGACCCACCTCAAATTTGATAATTAACTAGAACAACTTAAAACATTTTATTTTAAAGGTAGGGCCTTTAGTCAGGACCAACCAAGGGAACAACAGTCTGAAAAGTTAACATAAATGCAAAGCTTATATGCCCCTAGTAATAGAATTGGGACATTTCACCCTCCTCACATTGATAATTTGCACTAACAAGGTAGCTCCACCGAATTTAATTTTCTATAGTTTTGTGATATAGGCACAATATATTGACTAATTATTTGATACTCATTCTCCAGTCCCTCTTTCCTCCAAGTAAAACTGACCTCCTAACCCCAATTGTCTAATTATAATGGTTAGCCCCCTATCCTTTATTAGCCTAAAAAACTATCTTGGCTGGCCATGAATAGGCAATATACTCCCTATTAATGAAATTCCTAAATTTTAAGCAATGTAAGAATCTAGGATAAAAACTAAACAGTTATATAATATATGGTGTCTCCTTTAAAGGTATGTGGAATGTATAGTTTTCAGGTAGCTTGACTATATAGACAGCCTGGCTTGCTAGAAAACCATAAATGCATGGAAGAGGTAAGGCAGGGCACATTTGTTTTCAGAAGCTTTATGTAGGTTCTTTTTGAGATGGTTCCCACTTTTCTTACCTGGTACCATTTGCTTTGTTTGAGCTTTGTTTCCCCTGGAGTTTCTGCCTTTTTTAAAAAAAATATTTTTTTATTTTTTATTGTAAAGATACTATACAGAGGGTTACAGTTACATGAGTAAGGTAATGAGTACACTTCCTATTGAGCATTGTTACCCCCCTCCATTGTTTTCCCCCTACCATCCCTTCCCTCCCTCCCTTCCCTGAGGTTCTTTTTTTTTTTTTATTGTGATTTAGTGATTACATAATTTCCCATATTTCACAGTATTGTGGAATAATGATGCTCATTTAAAGTCACAAGTTCATTCTAACTTTCCTGGAGCAAATTGTCTATCACAGTCTATAACAAATAACAGTGTACACATATACACCATACATGTGATCAGCAGCATGGGGATATTTAGTAGTGGTTCGACCAGATGAGTGGGAGTTCTTTGTTTCTTAAGTCCTGTTAGTTTTGTCGTATCACCTAACATTTTGGATTTAGCATCCACTTATCAGGGAGACCATGTACCGTTTGTCTCTTTGTTCTTGGCTTACCTCGCTCAACATGATTCCTTCTAGCTCCATCCATTTCCCTGCAAATGCCATTATGGCTGCATAATATTCCATTGTGTATAGATATCACAATTTTTGGATCCATTCATCTGTGGTGGGGCATCTGGGTTGTTTCCATAACCTAGCTGTTGTGAACAGTGCTGCAATAAACATGGAGGTGCACGTGTCCTTGTATATTGGTTCCTGTTGTTCAGGGTAGATGCCTAGAAGTGGTATGACTAGGTCGTAAGGGAGGTCAATCTTTAGCTTTCTAAGGACCCTCCAGACTGCTTTCCAAAGTGGTTGTATAAGTGTACATTCCCACCAGCAGTGTAATAGGGTTCCTCTTTCTCCACATCCCCTCCAGCATTTGTCGTTGGCTGATTTGTGGATGTGGGACATTCTGACTGGGGTAAGGTGGTATCTCAGGGTTGTCTTTATTTG